AGGTGTGTTTTTTAGTGGATTTGAATTTGGGTTTAGGTTTTTGTTCTTAACAGTGGAATATTGAATTTGAATAATTATTTAATTTGATACAAATAAATATTGATTTGATTTATTTTTTTTCATGTAAAACGAATTATAATAGTATATTTGTATTTTTTATTTTAATTATATATATATTACTCATTCCATCCAATAACTAAATATTCATTTGTTTTTTTTTTATGTAATTTTAGAAATATTAGTATTATATTTGGATGCAGCAAGAATAAAGTAGAAATGACTAAAATAATCTTGTTAGTACGTGTGATATAAAAGTAGTGACATTTGTGTAATATATTGTAAGTTGTAAGGATATTTGTAATGTTAGGTAGATAGTACAGTTATTAAAAAAGGAAATGAATACTTTGTTATGTGACGAACTAAAATAGAAAATAGATATTTTGTTATGAGACGGAGGGAGTAATATTCTTTAATATTTTTGTATTTTATAACATGTCTTTGTCTATTTTATCAATATTGATATATTTTTATTCAATAAAATTTTAATCATACTAGTTTAATTTTTAATTATCTTATAAATATTCAATAAATTACACAAATAATGAAAAAAAAATACTATAATGATTAAATATGTATTTAAATTTTTAATAAATTTGAAAATAATATAAATAACAAGATTCATAATAAAAATAACAAACATAATGACATTGAGAATATAATATAAAAAATTATAGATATAACAACATAAATAATACTCTAAACACTAATTAAACAATCGTTAAATTGTTGCTTGCTTTTGTTTATGCTTGTTTATGATTTCAAACATAAATCTTCAGTATGTATGGTTTCTAATAAAAACATATTATTATTATTATTATTATTTTATAAAATATCATATCAAAATATTATTTAAATAAAATTTAAACAATATTTTGCTTCAAATCAATTTCAAATTATACGTCCAAGATCTTCAAATTTTTTTTCGTCCGCATTCAAAATTTTAGTTTTTGCCAACAATATATTTAGAGGTTGTTTAAAAAATAATTTTTCAAAAAAGAATTTAGTTGTTTTGAAATTTAGATGTTTGACCCATCAAAAACTAATCTATACATTTGGTAAATTAGTTTTTTGAATTTATTTATTGGTCTCAAAAGTTAATTTTGAAACGTTGGATATTTTAATGTTTCAGAATAATTTTTTTTACTTTATTTATTTTTTTATCATAAGAATTAAATGTTCATTTCTTACATATTAATATATATTTTTTATTACAATATTTATTAATTCATCCAAATTTGTGTTTATTTTTCATTTTTTTTGTTGTCATAAAAAAATATTTTTATTTACCTTTTAATAAAAAATATCAATTTTCTACTCTTTATTTATTATATAAAAAAAATTATTTTTATCTATTTTTCTTAAAATTCATGCCCGACCAAATCAACGTAACTATAAATTTACTTTTATAAGTTAAAAGTATTTGGAAGAATTATTTTTATAGGTTAAAATACATTAATTTGTTTTAAAAATATTTAGAAAAATAACAAAAGTAAAATATTTTAATAAAATTTTGATGATTTTCGATAGTTAATAATAAAAATTCTAAAATTCTAAAATTCCACCAAAATAATGCAATTAAATATTTTTACAATAAAATACAAAATATATTTAATTGTCATTTTACATATAAACAATTATTTTAGTATTTTACCATATTTTAGCTAGCTAATATGTTCAGCTAGTTAAACCAATTAATTGAATGGACTAACAACTAATTATTAAACACCCCCTCAGAGTATATGTTATAGTAATTATATCTACTTCATTATCATTTTTATCTTTCTCGACTAGATCATATTCATTTCAACATTCAAATCATTTCATTTATCACCGATTATAGTAAATCATCTTCAACCCATTACCTTTGCTATTTTATAAATTTATAATAATTTATTCATTTATATATATTTTTATTATGTAATAATATATATATATATAAACAATATATAACTAATTTATTTATTTATACATATTTCTATATCTTTTTATTGTCTAATAATATATTTACATAATATTTATTATATTTTAACTTTTAAATATTAACCTATATAAATTTTAGTAATTGAAATTATTTGGAATAAATTAACATATATATTAATTAGAAATAACACCAAAAGAATCATACTATAATATAAACGTATAAAATAAATATATTATCAATATAATTAATAGTAATATTTGAAAATTTGGATTATCAAAAGAAATTTGATTTGATTCATTGCCTGAAAAATTTTCATTTTCAACCGTTTGATTTAAGAAATGAGTGAAAGAATCATTATTTTTACTAGTCATTTTGTTGAATTGTGATATGTATTGTATATAATGATATTTTATTCTGTTTTGGGCGACTTTTGAGATACAAAATTTCGTATATATGCAACTCATGGTGTGTTTTTAATTTTGTAATAGATTTAATGGAGTTGGCATGATTTGGGATGTATTTGGGAGACAATGAGCAGAACGCACGAAGGCTTTAGGCGTGATCACGCAACACAATGTGAGAAATGTGAAATTTACAAAAAGGCCATCCGGGGTAAATTTACAATATAAAAAGTATGTGATGATTGAAGTGCAAAGGAGATCTATTTAAAAGGGGTCTTGGGATGGAGTTGTAGAGACACGATTTGCAATTGAATAGGGGAAGAGAAGGGGACTACCACTTCTACCACGACATCATTTTTCTTAAAGGGGAGAAGAGAGAAAGAATGGCACGGAAGAGAGGAGAACTTGGAAGAGGATTGCAAACGACTTTTCGGGGCGTTCTTCTTCTATCTTCATATTGTTCTTCTTTGTCGATTTCGAAATTGAAGGCATGATGAACTTCTTTATTTTTTTTGTGTTTTCAATTTTTATGAATTCCGACTAATTTTATTTCTAGCGTAGGTGTGAATTGATGTTTGAGATTGAATTTGTGAGACTTGATTTTGTTTAATTTGGTGTTCATCGATATTGAGTATTTCTAATTCTTCTAATTTATAAGTTTAGAAATCTTAAATTGATTATTGCGCACATATTGATTTGAGATTTCATAGCTAAATTGGAGATTGGCACCCGTAATTGTGTAATTTTTCAATAGGTGTAGCAACCTAGAGGAATACTTTAGGGAAGAATTAGAATCAATTTTAAACAAATCCGCGTAGGAATTTTGTTATATGAATTGGGTCTTTCTAGTACTTAAAGCTGTCGAGTAAGTAAAACTTCGGTTGTACCTAGGATTCTCACTCGATTAGGGAAATAGCTAATGATCGTACCTTAGCTATCGAAAAAGTTAGGAAATGTTGGTTGTGAACGCGTGTAAATCAACTATAACCAATTTATCCAATTAGTCAATGAACTTGATTTTTAGTCGATGAACAAAATTGATATCTCGAACATAAAATTCATGCCTATGCTAGAGTCTAATCAATCTTTGGTAATCCGCATTGCATTTTATTTTATTTTATTTAGTTGAGCGAATTTATTTTCTCCTTAAATTAGTGTGATAAATCAAAACCCCCCATTATATATATTAGTATAATTATATTCAACCGAGTGTTTAAATTATTATTGTTCCATGTAGAGACGACCCTACTCACCAGCCTTACTTCATTTTGTATTTTCAGTGGCGTAGTAATTAATATTTTATTTTGCACTGTGTGACACTCGTGCAAATTGAATATGAAAAAGGTAGAGTACAACAAATAATTTTAAAATATAATAGATAAGAAAGATTGGTTAATGAATTTTAAATATATTTATAGATAATTTATGTTAAATTTATAATTTAAAATGTAACAATTTTTTGGATAGTCTGTAATTTTTCTTTTTAATTTTTAAATATATATATTTTTTAAGGTAACCAGTTTTCGATAGAGGTAATAAATTTTGATAAATGTATTTCTTATTAAAATAGATGAGTTTTGTTATAGTAAAAATTAAAAATGTAATGATAAAACCAATGAAGAAGGTAACTGTAAGAGATACTCTAAATATTCCATTTTTTTCCCCTTGGATAAGATCCTTTTACCAAAAATAAAAAAAGCTTCGATTGAAATGAGATAGGAAAAAAAAAAAAAATCAATTGAAATAAAACATAAAATGAATATTAAAATTATAAATTAATAAAATATTATATTATAAATAATTTGTATATGTAATATTCTCGAAGTTGGGTCAGTGTTAGGCCAACTTCCATAGATTTAATATATGTTAAATGGATTGAATAAATTATTTTTTTTCGAAAATTGAACTCTAAAGTTAATTTGAAGATAAGTGACCCATGCGAGACTGAAAAAAGTGTTCTGAAAAAAATTATAATGTAAAAAATGAATATTATTCATATAATATTTAATGGCAGTAAAAATATTGTAAAAATCACCACATATCACAGATTAAACCGTTTTTCATTCAGCATTGTCAGCATTGTGCTGAATATTTAAATTTTAGTTACTTTACAAAATTAATTTATAGTTATTCAACGTAACGTTGAAATTTATATTTCAGCACCTAATTTATCATCTTTTAAGAATATAGAGTTTAAGCGCTTTGTTTGTTTGCTTGCTCTTTTAGAAAAATAGCAATGTTAGATTAATAAAATTCCATATCAAATATTCTTTAAATTCTTTTAAAAAATTGATTTCAGATAAAATCAAACAAATAAAAAATATTTCATCATTCCACAAAATTCATGTCAATACTCCTATATTTTTTATGATTGTTTACTAAATTTAATATAATCTATTTATTTTAGATAATTTTATCCATTTAAAATTTTATTATACATACTTCAGTAAAAATTAACAATAAATTTATTATTATTGTTATCAGTATTACTTATTACATCATAATTTTTTAATTTTTAATAATTGTTAAAGTATTTTAATTTTTATTTTAAATATTATTATTTTAAGAAAAAAAAAAAAAAAAGTGAAGTGAAATGTAGCGGAGGGAAGAATATGAGTAAATGAGAGAGAGAGAGAGAGAAAGAGCTGTCCGTCTCGTGAAGGAGAGGAAAACAAAACCAGTTTTAGTGCCCACACCTTCTCGCCATATTCCCATCTCCATCTCCATCTCCATCTCAATTCGCCAGATCCATTCCATTCCTTGATGCTTCCACCGGAGCAGACCCAGACCCAGGCCCAAGAAGAAGAAGAGGCGCCCCCGGAGGAAGAGAAGGAGAAGGAGAAGGAGAAGCAGAAGGACCTGTAAACTAAAACCCCGATTTCAATCCCGAAATGGCGTCGCAACTCGGGAGGACCAAACCTGAGTTTGCTGCGGGGGAATCGCTCTCGGATCGATTCAAGGACGCCGTCAACTGCGATGTCAACAAGCCGGACTTCCGCGAGCTCGATCTAGGTTCGCCGGTTTCTCCGCTACGGACTCGGACCGGTGGCGGAGCCACCGCCGCCGCCGTCTCCGCTACTGCTACCTCGAGCAGCAGTAGTTCCGGCTCGTCCGGATCGGTCTCCGGCCGGACGTCGGCAGTACCTAATTCCAATTTAACTAGAAAGTCCGATTCCAATCCCCATAGCCTTTCCGGCGAACTCTCCGCTGACAGTTCTCCTCTGACTTCACGCAATTTAAAGCTCGATAACTCCCGTTCCAGTTCTGTTGGATCTCATCCACTGATTTACTCCGGTTCGGCCTCCGTCAACTCCCCGGCCGTGAACGTCCTCCCCGCCGGTAACATCTGCCCCTCCGGCCGAGTTCTAAAGGGTTCAATCCCCAGCCGAACTACGAAGTCCGATGTGTTAGGGTCCGGCTCCGCTAACTACGGCCACGGCAGCATAATCCGACCTAAGTTAGGGCTAGATAAAGGAGGAATGATTGGCGGAGAGATGGGGAAGAAAAAAGCAGCCTGCAGTAGTGATCCAGAGGAGCTAAAAAGGATGGGAAATGATCATTACAAGAAGGGTAATTTTGCAGAAGCTTTGAGCCTTTATGACAAGGCCATAGCCATATCTCGGGACACTGCTGCGTACCATTTCAACCGCGCCGCAGCTTTGATGGGGCTGAGGCGTCTGTCGGAGGCGGTCAGGGAATGCGAGGAGGCTATCAGGTTGGATCCAGGCTATGTTAGGGCACACCATCGGTTAGGATCTCTGCTTCTTAGGTGAGTTCGTTCGTAGTTCGTTCGTGGATCATCTTGGTAACCAATTGTTGCATTCGAATGCTCTTCGTGTTGCTTGGTTGTTGGATTTGCTGATTTTGATTCTGATCTGCATTTGGTGAAACTAGTATGTATGTTTGTTTAATACCGGTAATTTTGTCATAATTTGTTTGATTTGTGATGGAGTGGAAGTAGTCTAAGCATTGATCTGCATCACCATTAACTGCTGCGCTTTTTATGTTTGAATAGATGTTCGATGCATTTCCATTCCTTCTTAAGGTGGTTTGAGCATTTTCTTGCTTTCTCCATGTGTTTCCATATGCATATTACCCATCCATCCATCCATCTTTGTTTTATTCGACAGAAAGGCGAGGATAGTGTAGTTTGCTTATGTGAGTAAAAACACGACGTTTTCTAGATTGGGATAGTGACAGCAATGTTTGTTTGTTTCAGTTAAATTTATGGTTGATCGGCAGTGGGATTAATCATTATATTGATTGCGGTAGTTTTTTTAGTTTGTGTCGAGGAAAGCATAATTAAAGCATTGGTTTTGGGTACCGGTCTTTGTCGCTTATAGTGCTCTGCCTCTCTGGTTTAATTGTCTTTTTTTCTGTAAAGTAATGGTTATCTAGTATGTATTACGTCGTAGACTATCTTTGATTTCTCAAATGCTCACAGTTTAGGACAGATTGAGACTGCAAGGAAACACATTTGTTTCGCCGGGCACCTACCAGATCCTACGGAATTACAAAAGTTGCAGTCTGTGGAGAAGCATCTGAGCAAGTGCACCGATGCCCGGAGAGTTGGGGACTGGAAGAGTACTCTGAGGGAGGTTGACGCTGCCATTGCAGCTGGTGCAGATGCTTCGCCTCAGGTTCGATGTCTCAAGTTTCGATGACTGCTTTTGTATGTTTTAATATCAGAGATCCGGAGCAAGAACTCTGACTCAACTGTTTGTATATTTTGCATTCAAGCTTTGTGCGTGTAGGGTCGAAGCTCTCTTGAAGCTCCATCAACTTGACGACGCATTTTTAGCATTTTCCAACATTCCTAAATCTTCCCCCCCTGCTAGTTCCCATTCGCAGCCAAAGATATTCGGTATGCTTTTTGAAGCATACTTGTTCTTTGTTACTACCCAAATCGAGCTGGCCAAAGGAAGGTGAGAGAGGAGGCGTACATTTGCGCGAGTCTATCAAATTATGAAGCGATGAAAAACGATTCGAACTTTTAAGATGAATGATAAATTGCATACAGGTTCGACAGTGCACTTGCATCTGTAGAAAAGGCCAGACAGATGGACCCGCAGAACGTCGAAATCTCGATTCTGCAGAACAATGTGAGGTTGGTGGGACGAGCTCGTGCTCGTGGGAACGATTTATTCAAATCCGAAAGGTTCACTGAAGCCTGTTCTGCTTATGGAGAAGGCCTCAAACTCGATCCTTCGAATTCTGTTCTGTACTGTAATAGAGCAGCGTGTTGGTTCAAACTCGGACAGTGGGAACGCTCGGTGGATGATTGCAATCAAGCGCTCCATATCAAGCCGAATTACATCAAAGCTCTACTTCGAAGAGCCGCCTCGAACAGCAAGGTACTATACATCAGTACATACATATATAAGTATCTTTATTACGAGACCTTTCAATCCCAACGCCCGAAAATTTTAATTCTTGTGATAGCTTGAAAAATGGGTGGAAGCTGTGAGAGATTACGAGGTTTTGAGAATGGAGCTCCCCGACGACGCTGAAGTTGCCGAATCTCTATTTCATGCACAAGTTGAACTGAAGAAATCGCGCGGAGAAGACGTGAATAAAATGACATTCGGCGGGGAAGTCGAGTCTATTTCAAGCCTAGACGAGTTTCGTGCTGCAATCTCTTTGCCGGGTAAGGATGTCGTTTTCTTTAATTTTGCAGATAATTCGTTATCTTCTCGATGGTAATGATTATATCCGGTGAAAAATCGTTAAATTAAATACAGGCGCTTCTGTTGTCCATTTTAAAGCCTGCTCCAGTGTCGAGTGCAAACAAATATCTCCGTTTGTCGACATGATGTGCACTCGCTATCCTTCTATCAACTTCATCAAGGTAGATCACTGTGAACTATCGATTTTTTTATCTTAATCGAAGTTGATGAGATATTCTTTTTAAATTGATTTGATTATTTGAAAAGGTGGATGTTGACACGGGAAATGCCATCGCTCGAGCTGAGAACATACAAGTAGCGCCTACGTTCAAGATCTACAAAAAGGGAATTCAACTGAAGGAAATGATCCGTCCGAGCCCGGAATCTCTGGAATCATCGGTGAGGCATTACGGTGTTTAAATTAATGCACATTCATGATTGCATCCCTTACTGTGACATACGCTGTTAGATCGATTCGCCTGATTTCTTATTAGAAGCTCATTCGTAGAGTCGAAAGGCATAAAGACAGCATCGATACGTGCTTCGCTTCCTGTTCGCCTCTCTCTCTCTCTCTCTATATATATATATATATATATTTATATGTATAATTCATTCATTCACATCGGGTCCTTGTTGTAACATTTTTAGACTCCATATTTGTCATTCTTTCCTGAGTTATTTGTTACTATAAAAACTTACTTGCATTGGAGCTGCATTTTACTATTGTGTTCTTTTGTGGTTTCGCTTTCAAATTTTTGGTTTATGTTTTGATATTTTGGAAGTAGTAGTTATTGATTGGATATTACGAGAAATAAGTGTAATATTTTAGTGTAAAAGTAAAATATATGTAGGGATATTTTTGAAAATTCATTATAATTATTGCTATTTATGGTATAATTTTGATGGATAAATTTAAATGAAAATATGCATAAATTTGACGGGGAGGGAATATTATTTTTCATTACGGGGCAATTATGTGATATTTGAATTTTAGCGGGAGCCAAGAGGTTATGATGTTGATCGGAGCAAATTAATTCATTGAAAATTAGGCCGATGGCACATTGTTTATATTTATAGGGCCTGCTGAATAAATTTTTTTTTTTTTTTGTGTTATCAATAATAGTATGTATTATGCGAATAATTGTTACGTGTTAGTACGGTAAATTTTTTTATTTTAAATAATACTTCATTTGGGCTCCGCATATGAATTAAGAAAAATAAATAATTTATTGAAAGTGGAAAAAGTAAAAAATATAATTTAGAGTATTTTTGAAAATTTAGTTTATAATTGTTAAAAATGAAGAGATGATATAATAAAGTTAATGACAATTTGTGGTAAATAAATGTTAAATAAAAAGTAATAATTAAATATGATTTTTTTTTTCTTTTTTCAAATATAGTAATAAAGTTATTTAGGGATGTTGCTTGTTTATATCAAATATTTGTATTATATTAAAATATATTTTATATTATATAAATTATTAGCATATATTATCGGTTCATATTGCATGTTTCTATTATATTAGTATAAGTGTATTTTATTTTACTTTTTTGTGTTGAAATATAATATATTCTTTTTTATCCTAACTGAATGTGCTACTTTTACATCAAAGGTTTCTATCATTAATATTTTATAAGATAATATTAATATTTTTATAATTTATATTTTTATTAATTAATAAAATATTATTATTTTTAAATATACTAAAAAACATCAAAGGTTTCTTCGAATTGAAACAAAAGAATATAGTGAATGAATAATTAACATATAATAATACTCACTCAGTTCCGTAACAAAATATTTATTTTTTTATTTTAATCCGTTCCATAACAAAGTATCAATTTCTATTTTCTTTAGTAACTACTATTTACTTAACATTACAAATACTTTTACAACTTATAATATATTACACAAATGTCATTACAATTATATCACACATACTAATAAGATTATTTTAATCATTTTTATTTTATTTCTACTATATCCCAATATAATACTAATATTTTTAAAACTAGGTAAAAGAACAAATAAATATTTGCTTATAATACGGATGAAGTACAATGTATTTATTATTCATTGTATTTATTATTCATAATAAGCATATTCAGACCGACAATTTCATATGACACTAAACTAGATTATCTACTAATTAAGACCATATATATATATATATATGTAATCCTTACTCGGACTTTGTGCATTGGCTGAATTATTATTATTATTATTATTATTATTATTAATCCCTCCGTCCCAGATACCGTGTCTGCTACACTGTAGACACAGTATTTTAGGAGGAGTGTAATTAGTAGATAATTAAGAATATATTAGTGAAAATAATTATCCTATTAAACAATTATAAATTAAAATTAAGATAACTAATTAGTTTAATTAAAATTTAAAAAAATAAAATTAAAAAATTTAAAATAAGATTAAAGTGTGTAATCATTTTCCAAAAAAAGAAAGTGACATGGTACATGGGACGGACAGAAACAGCAACGTGAACATAGTATCTGAAACGGAGGGAGTATTTATTAAAAATAAAATAAAAAATGTATGTGTGGTGGAGGTTTAATAAGTACATTAGGTTTACCAAAAATCACATGAAAGCATTAATATTAAAATGTTGTGGCTTTTCAAGACTTAAAAAAATAGTAGCAAAAGAGTGCAAAACAAAATAGTGGGTGAAAAAAATATTTAATAATTAATTGCAATTTGATTGCATTAAATTTGATGTTACTTGTCTCTATCTCTCTCTTTGTGTTGTGTTGTCACATTCTTCTTTTTCCTTTCTACTATTTTATTAATATTTTTATATAGTTGTTGGTAGAAACATCCATTGACATTATTTTTCTACATTTTTATTTTTAATATTTTTAAGGAGAATTCTTTCATAATTTTTTTTTTATTTTTATATATTTTTAAATAAATATATTTATAGACAGTTATATTTTTATAAAGTATTAATTTATACTCCGTCCGTCCAATATATAAACTAAATATTTACTTTTAGTAGTTGAAAATAGTATAATGATATTTTGGTCCTTATTTTTTGGTGTAAAAAAGTAATGATGTAATGTAAAATAAAACTATTTGTAAAAAAAAGAGGTATTTAATAAAATATTTACTTTATAATCGGACGTTCGAAAATAACAATATATATATTTTATAGCTGGATGGAGGGAGTATTAATTTTAAATAAATTCTCTATTTGTATATTATATACATAATATTTAATTATTTATAAAATAATATATATTGAACATATTTTATGGAATATAAAATTTAAAATATATTATTTTTATCAAATATATATTAGCAAATATTTTTCAATCAAACATGTCCAACTTACAACTAACTCTAAATCTTTACTCATCACGTTATAGCAACAGCAAAATTAAATAAAAGTAAAAAAAAAGTATACATACATGATACATACGTACGTATACATATATACACATATACCTTGTATGCATTTTACGTTCAATATTTATAGTGTTTGAATAATATTAGTATAATTTAATAATCCCACCGTACTACTTTACTTAGTCCCATTTTTAACTATATACGAGAATTTATAAAAAAAAATATATTAGTAAAAATAAATATTATATATTTTTTTCGTTCCATAATTAGATATTCATTTGCTTTTTGCACGTAATTTTAAAAATATTAGTATTATATTGAGATGTAGTAGGAATGAAATAGAAATGACTAAAATAACCTTATTAATACGTGTGATATAAAGGTAATGATATTTGTATAATATACCGTAAGTTGTAAGAGTATTTGTAATGTTAGGTAGATAGTAAAGCTACTAAAAAAAAGAAAATGAATACTTTGTTATGGGACAGACTAAAATGAAAAAATGGATACTTTGTTATGGAACGGAGAGAATAATACAAATAGTTATAAATTAAAATTAATATAAATAAATAATTCAATTAATATTAATAACATTATAAATTATGAAATTCTTTAAAAGGTACAATTGGATTTAAATCCCTATTTGTCCAAAAGTATTTAAATTCAGTCCCGATTTCATAAAATTTGGACTGCACTCCCTATTTTTTGTATTGTTTGTTTTTTACTCTCTTTCTACCCTTTTTCCCCACCCCAACGAAATGAAATCTCTGCAATTATTTTCCAATCGCGAAATTGGTGAAGAAACACCGACGACTACGAAATTGAACCTACTGTGTGTTTGCTCACGCTTTTCGATCTTCGACACCCATTCATTCCCCGATTTTCGATCTCGAACACCTATCGCTCCGCGCCAAAATCGACGGACCTCATAATTTTTTAAGGTTAATAACTCTATTTGGAATGAGTAGATTTTCTATTAGAGGTAAAATCAGGGTATTTTGTGGGAAATTATGATGCTATACTCGAAGATGTTTGCTCACATTTAACAAAATTTCAAAGATATCCATCTATAAATATATTCAAACCCTATTTGCAAATATTTGGTTTTTCATGCAATTGGATATTGAAAATTGTGCGAATAATAACTCATTTTAACATATTAACTAAGATCATGAGTTTTGTCTTCAAGCAGATGTAGTTCATTTCTTGTGTCGAATATGCCCGCTTGATGAGAGGTTCTCATAAATTTGTTTTTATATTGTTCCAATCAATGTACTAATTCTCATGTTTCGTCTGTGTAACCTGGTCGACTAAAGAAACAACGTTATATTTCCAACATATAAAGCAATCAAGAAAATGCTATCGTTGTGGTCATTTCGAGCACAACATAAAAAGCTATAAAGATCGGTTGCCATATTCCTTTCGAATGTTGTAATTTTTGGTTTTGTCAAGGACGTCTCATTTGACATGTAATTACTTTTGGTGTGTTTGATATAATGCAATATTTTAGTTAATTATACAACAACAAGACCTCATTTGCATAGAATCGCAATTGTAATTTGGATGTATTGTGGTACATGAACACGAACAACGAGTATTTGACACTCTCTTTTTGTGTATAATAATTCAATAATACAGGTATCATTAAACGTAACAGAGGCATACGGGTTATCTGGGGGGGGGGGTATTTAGTTGTCCTCTCAAAGCACAATGATATTTTTTTGGTATTACTGTCCTATACACAATTGATTGTAATTTGTACGAAGGAATCGAAGCACATTGTGTTGCATCCATTATACTTATACACAATTGATTGTAATTGGTACACTAAAGGGAACAGTAGAATGGATTGACGTACATAGACACGAACAACGTGTTCGAAATAGTGCTTATTTTTCTATGATACTTGAAGCCAAGGATTTCTGACAACATATTAGAGCCACACAACTCATTTTTATATTAACATTTTCAGTTGGTGTATCGAAACACGTTGGCATAGTAGCGTAGGTACTAACGTATAAATGTCACTTTCGATCGTATGCTAAATCCTCACAAGTGTTAACAAGAGCTATAAAGGTAGGAAGTTAGGAAATCATGTCATGAGATTAGATTTTTCAGTTACATGAAACACTGTAGTAGGTACACACCTAGTAGAATTTATTACACGAAGCCAGATTAGGGGTATAGCACATCGGATCTGGAGTACTCATTTGCGCCATGAGTCAGACCATATGCTTAGATGCCCCTGACCAAAAAAATATTGTGTGCGCCATAATCTGGGTTAATATGTAATAAGTCTAAA